CCCCCCCTCGTGTGTGTGTCTCCTTTTATTTCAGCACACGGAAAAACAGATGGGGTTTTAAGAATACAGAATGTATCCAATCCTCTTTGCTAAGCTTGACTAGAATTGGTTAAGTATTAAAGAATTTATCAACAAATGAAAATAGCACAGAACATGTGTTATTTCTTAATTAAAACCTCCAAAAAAAATTAATGAACACCAAATGTATAAGTCTAGATGGAGTCGGACACTAGTATAAATTCACAAGCCTACTTCAGCGGGAAGACACAGGTGGAGTTCTTGTGTGTGCACATACACGTAGTTCTGTTACGATCTCGGTGTGCCAGGGACCTATATCAGACAATGGCTATTACGGTAGTGTGTATAGATATTGACATTTCAAATGCCAGTCTTATCCTGGGGTTATTAAAGCATGGAATGAAATCCAGCAGTCATGTAGCCTTGCACTTAAGGGACATCAAATTTTTTCATGGTTTGTTTGGGACAGGAGTGAACTTACCAAGGATTGCACTGATCTCGAGACCTTGGTGTTGGATACAAGACTCTACGGGAGGCCAAAGGAAAGAAGAAACTTCCTGAAATGACAGCCAACAAGGTGGTAAAAAAAATGAAAGCTGTATCCATTATGTTTCTGTTCCCCTCATCCTTCCCACTCGCTCCCCCAGTTTATCCAGGAGATATGTTCTATTTCCCCTTCCTGGGGAAATCCATGCCTCCCTCTTTGGGTCCTCTTTGTTATCTAGTCTCTCTGGGACTCTGGATTGGTTATCTTGTACTTTATACCCAATATTCACTTAAGAGTGAGTACATCCCATGAGATGGAGGAGGACTGGATGGGGAAGTGGGGTCGATGGGAGTCGGGGGAGGGAAGAGGGAGGAGAGAGGGGAGGAGAAATAAAAGGAGATATAAAAGTTCGTTGGAATCCAAATAACCAGGGTCCTATCCCAGACATACAGATGATCTGGTCTTGGGGTCCAGGTGAGTCTGAGGCTAATGGCCCAAGGCCTATATATTTAAAAAGCAGCCCTTGCTCAAAGCCCTGTAGATCCTTAACAAACACATGTTCTTGAAATAGTCAAAAGTAGACATTTCTTTCCAGAAGTGTCCTCAGGTTTTGTATTTCTGCCTATCTGTTGTTAGTCCTGAGAAAATGCTGGCAATCTGGACTCTACTTAAAGCCTTCCTCTCCCCGGCTCCCCAGGAGGCAATAAGATAAAGCGTTCTGTTCTCATGTTCTCGTGATTCTGTCTGCACAGGGGAGCAAAAACATTCAGAGTTCGGGGGAAATTTTAGACAGATTCTGGGGAGCAGAGCCCCAATAACTGACAACAAAAGGGGTCACAAGAAAGGAAAGAGATGTAATACCAGGAACAAAGCTCACTCCAGGGTCAAATTAACCTCACTGTCTTCCAGGGAAATTCAAAATGATGAGTTTTCACCACACCTAAAGACTGGCGGAACTCATCCGTGTGCAACCTAGACAACAGGACTATTAAAGACCTCCCAAGCGATTCTAGCGTGTAGCCAAAGGTGAAAATGAACAGGAAAGACATACGCACAAGGAGGTGAAATTGTAGTTGTTAAAACTGAGTGTTTGCCGAGCCCAAATGAGATCACAGACTGTTTTCTGACGTGTGTGCCTGCATTCCTGAGGACACAGGAGGCAGAAGTCTCATCAAAAGTTAAGGTTTTTAAATGAGCAGCATTTGCTTTTCATGTTGGTTTCTGACGGTAACAACACAAAATCAGCCAATCCAGATACTAGTGAGCTGATCGCCCAACCTCTGGTGTTTGGTGCACATGGAGACGTCTGGGCTCTCCTGAGATGGGAATTTTCTACCCCGCAGCTGGAGCTGTTAATGGCGTGTGGGCAGTCTGGTTGCAGTGCGGCATGTTGCCTTCTTTGGTCTTTGTGCTGAGGAGTTGGCTTTGTGAGTTTTCCTGGTTTCCATGTACGTAAAATCACAGCCATAAGGTTGCATCTCCATTAAATTAGTGGATTACGGCTGTGTGTTCTGGCAAGGTTTCCAGCCCTGGTCCCCACACTGCTGAAGTCTTGCTGTTTGACACTGACCTATAAAATGTGTTATAATGATCTAAAATAAGGCAAAGGAATGAAAAATAAAACCAGCCACAACGGCATTTTGAAACGAGGTAAAATGTGGAGTGGCCTTGGTAATTGCAGCCAAGTCGAATCCAGCTTTCCACCCTCTCCCTCGCTTTCGAAAGAAAGCGCTTTCAAATAAAAGCGTTAGTCCTGATAGGAGAACAGACCAGACCTGATAGTCCAAAGCAAAACAAGTCCCACGGAAAGAACCAGGAGTCCACTCATAGTTTGTCTTGAATCTTTATAGCCTCGTGCAAGCAGACACAGGCTGTGTTTCTGCCAGTGTGGTGCAGCTACATAAAGATGTCCAGGACCTCAGTCAGTACCGCTATCTTACAGCATCAGTTTACACGCGCTGGGCAGCCATTATGTAACGGTTAAAGTGAATGCCGTCTGGGTTCTCCCGAGGAGCAAGTTTATGTACTCTAAGTTCATCAATAAAACGAAATGTGCTAACCACCAAACTTGGCCTCAAGGCACCTGCGGAGAAGATTCCTCTTTTAAATCTGAAAAAAGAAAACTCCCAGATTTACACGTGCCGCAAAGTGTCTTTCCCTCTCAGGTGAGAAGCAGCCTGAAGCAGGGGTAAAGACCCTGCTTTGGAACCAGGTAAAGCTGGGTGTGGTTGCCAACTCCGTTTCCGACAAGCTATGATTAGGTGGCTACACGAACCCATTTCTTCACTTAGAAGGGCAGAAAGAATCATAGCCACCCCTTCACGGGGGTGGTTCTGGCCTCCTCCCTCTGGTCCCTAGACAGACTTCCGGGTCAAGTCATTCTCACTGAGACACCTTGAGAAGTCTACCTGAATTCTTACCCTGTTTTCTTAGGTCTCAGTCCAGTTCTTAAATCCATTTCTCCAGATGTTGACTATGTAATCTATAGTAAATTCCTTTCTGTTAATACATGTTTGGTTTGGATGGTTTTCACCCAAGAACTCTGGACAAGCACAGAGAGGGTAGATGGAATATTACAAAAGTAGGATGAGCACATACGCATCCTACAAATCAATAAGCTATCACATTCTGATTTATCAACACTAGTCAGGGTTACCCGATTAGTAGGTCCCACAATTAGTGTTGCTTGAGCAACAACCGTATTGAACAACAATGTCTTTTGTTCATTTTTATATTTTACAACCCACCCACTGCCTAGTACACTGTAGACATTAAATAAATATTTTTTGTTGGATGAATAAAGAAAATACAAGCATTGAAATTAGGAGTTCCAGAGATGATCTTGATACCAGATAGGGTAAGCTAAGGGGTGCTGGGCCAGAAGAGAGACGAGAAGAAACTTTTCCAGGCTGCAGAAGGGGCAATGAAATAGAAGCTTGTGGTTTATGTCCTCATGAAACACACAATCTAGCAAAGAAGAGGAGAGTGACATCCAAGAAACAATTTGAGAACAATAAAAGCCAGAAATATGAATAAATAAAGGGTAACTGGGAGAAAGTGACGGAAGAATTACCTACTGTGTATATTTGACGTTCTTCTGTCAGGGTTCGTCTGTCAAATTGTCCCTCTCACTTGCCAAGAATCAAGATGTGAGCAGGAAAAAGTCCAGATTGGAATACAGACATCCTCGCTATATTGGGTTTGAGTGACATCAGCTGGAGCGCTCTGGGATCTGCGTATTGACAGTCTGATACTGCGCTTGTCCGAGAACTAATTAAGATTGAGTTCAGAAGCTATTGCTGTGTTCTCACCTCACTGAAGATGAGAAACAAGAAGCCAGTTCGGTGACGTTGCTGATACCATTCAACCCCTGTGGGAGCCACTCCGTCCTAACCAAGGACCCTTGAAGTGTCAGCTGGGCCCTGCCAAATTAGAGTAGCTTTAGGAGGATAGATACAGGCTATTTTCAAAGCGACAAGGAAATCAAGGGCGATGTTTTCTCTGTTACCTTTTCGAAGAGACAGAAGGTGAATGACAATCAAAACCAAAAAGATGAAGAGGATTCGGTTGTATAGAGATGCGGCCGCTGTTACCTTGGATAAAGGAATTGCGTGCGTTCCCAAGAAAATCACGCTTCGGGTGGGGTGGGCTGTAAAAGAGACCTCTTGACAATCCTCTCCTCTGCCAGTTAGGGCAGGAATAGTCTGACAGAGGTCAGAGGGCAGGAAAGGCACTTTGGGTTGGCCTCCAGAGCAGGAAACAATGGAGGAGACCGTGGCACATTAATCCAGAGGGGAGAAATTCGCTTACTAGAGCACAGTGCAGAATGGTGGTTTCCATAGTAGCATACCCTCACCTCACTACGGAGTTTACTGCCAACAAGTGGCAATGGCCACTTTAAGGAAATCAGATTCTAGCGTTGCGGTCACGTGATCTGCCTGGGCAAAGCTGGCTGCTCCGTGAGGCTCCTTGGAGTCCTGCAGTCACCAGTACCCAATGAAAGGCAAAGAAGGGATTGTTTTCCTCATGCTTTGAGAGTTATGGTCGGTCTCAAGGGCATGCTCGTCCACCGCAGAAGGCCTCCCACAGTCCCCTCCCACTTCCCCTTTCATGTGTACCGTTCTGAAAAGTGAGGGGTCTCTCTGCCCATGTTATTGTATTCTGTTGAAATATAGAAAATCCTGACATGGAACTCTCATACCTGTGATCTCTGTCTCATCTAACTGATGAGACCGGAGAGACGACTCTGCAGTTAAGATCATGTGCTCTTCTAGATGACCGGGCTTCAATTCCTAGAGCCCACACTGTCGCTCACGATCAGGGGTAGCTCCACTTCTAGGGCATTTGATGCCCTCTTCTGGCTTCTGCAGGTACTGCAGCCCATTGTACATAGACATGCATGCACACAAAACACCCCACACACAAAATAAAAGTAGATTCAATTTTTAGGTTTTGTTGCATTTTATTCATTGTGAATCTGTGACAGCGTGTTTGGAACAGTTACTCAAATTATAAAAACGAAATTACCCTCGGAAGCAATGATTTCCTGTCCCTTGTTACTATGTAGGGAGATCCAGCACTTTCTCAGAAGCCACCCCACCCCAGTCCAGTTAAATTAGAGCCTCTAATTGTAGAATTTATATATCAGCAGTTTTTAAGTATCCCCACACAGTTAAAATATGCAGGCAAAGTTAAGAAGTTTGAATCAGAGTCCTAGGAAACCAGAGACCACGGGTTATAGTAAGGTTTTTTTTTTTTTAAATTTTGGGGAATGTGCCTATTTTATTTAAGAAAAATGTTATAGGGCCATCGAGGGACTCGTATCTACAATTACATCACGCTGGGATCCTACAGAGGAGGGCAAGAATATGTGGGAAACAGCTCATGAAACAAAGGAGGCCATGTAACGTTTCCAACGTGCAAAACACTTAAAAAACACGAGACTGTGTTTATTCAACCACTTCCACGTTGAGAATAGATTTCTGTAGATTTGCATATGAGGAGACAGCTAGGAATGTTGGAGAAGATATGAAGAAAAACTCTCTTGGAGATTATCAGAGATCTACGAAAGCAACCAGGACTTCACCGCCACGACCCAGAAAGAAGAAGGAAAGCTGGGCTGAGGGTCTCTGAAACAAGCTCTCCCGCAGGGCCTTTGCGAATTCCAGTCTTGGACAGGGCTGACGTCGAGTAGCAATGGAGGAGCCGTGGGGCTTTAGGCAGTCGACGGGCTAGGGAGACGTAAGTTATAGTCAAGGAGGCCAGGGCATCTGGGGCTTCAGGGACCAAGATCCTGGAGATAGGAAATCCAAATAAATAAGCCCAGTATTTAGTGGTTTTCCCCTCAGAGGAATTTCCCAAATATTAATATGTTCAGACAAGGGCTCTGCAACCAAGTAACTTTTTAAATTCAGAGCGATATTTCTAGAAGTCCGCAAGGGCTGACCAGACAAATTCAGAAATCTTAAAGAGAGGACCTGGGAACTATCCCATGCTTGTTGTAAGACTGCTAAAACTGTATGGTATGGGATGCAATCAACCAAACCTCTCAGAACTGAAAGTCAGGCCGGCGTGGCTCGTACTGTTTGAGTTAGAGTGACCCATTCACTCTGTTGCCCATCAAACAGGGAAACCCCATCACGAACAATAAACCATCATCTGGAACCTCTGTAGTTCTCCAGCCTGCCATTTGTTTAAAAATGTGAGGCAGAGGAACCCTCAAACACAGATGGCAGAGATTAAATAGGTCCAACCACTACAGAATTCATACAGAAATTCACGAAAAAAAAAACAGCTAAAAATAGTTAACCTATGACCCCACGATACCACTGAGAAGACGATGTGCATGTGATTCAAGGTTGTGTACACCTGAAGCGCTCTTCAGTCGATACAGGTCAGAAATGCTCACACGTCTGTTTGCTGGAGTGCTGTTCATAAGAGCAAAGTTATGAAAGCTGGGAGCTAGGTGGGCATCGAAGGATGAACGGTGAGGGAAATGTGGCAGATATACGCAGCGGAGACGTCCTCATCCATCAGAGAGAGCAAAATGTCGTCATCCTCAGGAAACCTAGGCAACTGGAGATCACGATATTAAGATAAATAAGTCAGACTCAGAACTAAATATGCACGTTTTCTCTCACTCTGGGGCCTTAGATTATATATAGACATATGAAATCGTTTATAAATATTTTATGAAAATAAAAGTGTACTCTCTGTGGGAACAAAGGGCTAACAGGAGCGGAGAGGAAGGGGAGAGTTTACAGACAGGGAGATACAACCTGTCTTCTCAGAACCAACTGCTATGTACAGTAACTACATGCTGATAAAATACTAGGCACTCTGCAAATAAACAAGAGAAACTAGAACTAGAGTGGTCTGGAACTGTCTAGACACCGAGAGGAGAGACGAGTTGGTGATGCCAGAGGATTGTTGGCCAGGTGAAGCTATTCTGTATGGCACCAGATGGACAGCGTTGAACCTTTACCAAGCCCGCAGAGTGGACAGCACCAAGACTCCGCTCTAATCAACTCTAAGCCCAACTATTGCTTTGGGGTGAAAATAACACATCGGTGTGAAGATGGGCATCACATTAGCAGTAGGGAGGCCAGTCTTCCTCTTGAAGTAATTGGTGCTGCCAGGAGCAGATGTGTCTCATGTCATGAAAAGTCCTAAGTTCTTAAAACATTTTAAATGCCATATTCTGAAGGTCTCTGATGATTTGAAGAATAACTATCTAACAAATATATCTCCAAATATCTAGAAAACCTAACTAACATGACTACAAGTTTGACTATTATAGATGACTATCTATTAACATATATTTCTTAATTATACATTACATTTTTAAATGATCTGGAAAAACACAATACCTTAATCAAGATCGGAAATACATATACACAGTATAACAAAATTGACCTTAAACTTATATCAATAAACCGAGATCCATATCAATGCAAATCTCTATAGCAAAGGGGTTTCCAGTCCTAGCTACCATGGGTAAGAAACTTAGAAACCCCCACTTTCACCCTAACAGGAAGAACTGAGCTGAACAAAGTCTTCAATCCATCAGGCAGCTGAGGTCACACAGCCTCTTCCTTCTGGGAAGTCTGCAGTCCAGGGTGTGCAGAGATTCAAGGAACTGATGATCTTAGTTTTACCTTCAGCAAAAGCAGGTGGAATCAATGCTTGCAGGAGAGCTTAATTGGAACTGTTGGGCAGTGGCTGCATGCCAGGTGCAGATCAGCTTGGGAAGAGGGAAACTCTGAAGGACACCCACCCCACTCTTTCTTACTGGCACGAACCATACCAGGATCTCAAGATGAAGAGATGAGACAAACCAAGGAGAGAGGAAAATGAATTGTTTTGAAATAGGTTACTAAGCGAGTCATTGCTGGCTTAGGGACATAGTTAATATTCAGTGTGTCTTTGATGATGATATTACATGGATCAAATGAATGGCAACCAGGCTGTAACACAAAGGAAAGATAGTTTCCAAGACTCTGCTACCGGTTATCCAAGAGGCATCCTGGAAGAATGGAGAATGAACTTAGACGAGCTGTAAGGTTAAATATAGTTCATGCTCTAGCAGAGTCGATACAGAGTTTTCTATAATTACTGTTACCAAGACAAGACAGAAACTGGATTCGATTAAAGAAGATAAAACTGAGGATAATTTATAAAAATGAATTGAAAATGGATACAATAGAGTCGATTCTAAACTAATCGTTAGCAGCAACTTTCCACTTTGAGAGGCTTTGCTCAGTTGATATAATGCTGGCCTAGCATGTGTAAGCTCCGCGTTTGCTCCCCAGAGCTTTGTGAACCTCCGCAATGGCACACACAAGCAAACCTAGCACCGGGGAAGTGGGGCGTAGAGAACAGAAGATCCGGGCCATTCTTGGCTACATATCAAGTTTGGGACAAGCTTGAGATAGACTGAGATCTCATTTCAAAATAATAACAACCTTAAATTTTCAGTGATCTAAATAGAAGTCTTAAAAGGCAGAGATTGTGAAATTGGATCTTCAGACTGTTTTTCTTTTTTCCTCTCAGTTTGGTGTATCTACAGGAATTCCATCCTAAGATAAGAAGGCAGGTCACAGTGGTCTATGGTGCTGGAAACGAGTGTGACTCTGGTATTAATTACAGAAAAGCTGGAGCCTCCAGAGCAATGCCAGATAAAGACAATAAAAGAAAATGATCAGAGCTAGAACATTCTGTAAGGCTGAAGAGGGCAATCCTCCAAGAAAACATGGAAGACCTTAATGTGTGTGCACACAACAGCAGAGCTTTGAAGTGGCCAAATCTAAGACGGGACTCAGGAGAAACTGACAAACCCATCCTCACGCTAAAGAGCCAGCCAGCCTCCAGCTCTCCATTTTAGGTTTGAAAAGCCATCTTATCGTAAAGACAAACTAGGCTCATTCCTGTTTGTGATTAAACCTCTTTTTCTCGATGATTGGGCCACCTGTAACCTAACTACAAATGGCTCTACATTGCCTATTCCAGGAGTGGCAATCACATCTTTGTTTCAAGACGTGATTAACTATCTTGCAACCCTACATTTGCTTCAAAAGGGTTGCTTATGGTTACCTTATTCTGACTTCCTGTGGTTACAACCACCGTGCAATCTTGCCTTTGTTTCTGGTGGGCCTTAGGACTAACTTTAGTAGTACTTATGTTCTGTTCCTGTAATCCCACTTATTTTGCCCACCAAATCCCCCACAGGGAGCCTCCTACTCCTAACCTATAAAAACATAAATTTCCTCACATCCGGTGATTACCTCTCAAAGCCAGTCTTAGGGGGGAGCAGGCTGCTGCTAGGAATAAAAATGACTGCTTTAATTAATTTGGCCATGATGAGTTGGGTCTGTGTGCTTTCTTCTCCCAAGTTTGGGATTAGCAAAGCCTCTAGCCCCTTCTGGTGATTGCTGACAGGACCCAGCTCAGTTCCACAGTCCCAGCAAACAAACTTAGTTGACCCTCACGGAACCCTGCATCCCGCACCAGCAGAACGCTCATTCTTGGCGGACCCACACACGAAATTCACTAGGAGAGACCGCCTTCTAGGCTGCAAAGCACACCTCAGCCAATAGGAAGGAAAAGAAAACATCAGGCAAAGTGTTATTTCAGCCTGTAAGAGAATTAAATTAGATACCTGGAAACCATAGTTGAGCAAGTGTCCTTGAGGTAGAATAGAACAGAAATGATATAAATCCTATATAAACTTTTCCAGAATAAAGATCAACTATTTATTTAATGAGGATGTTAATAATTTCAAAATATGATAGTTATAAAAGTAAAAAAATTATAAGCTATGATCTTAAAATGAAATTTAAATGCCCATGAAAGTGGATGAAACCATTTATCATACACTTCTGTACATACAATGGCAACAAGAAACACTGCATACCTGTCTCAGTAAATACGAAAATTTAAGAGGACATAATGCTAACTTGTAATGTCAAAACTTGGAGTAAGTCAGAGATACGGCCTCGGTTTACTGCTCTGGGAAAGAGTACACATGGAAACCACAGCAGCTATAATAGTTACTTATCCTGCAAAGAATTCCACCTTGGTGAGCTTGGGATGAGTCAAAGATCACTACCTCTTCCATTTATTATTGTATTTGAGATCTTATCTAGTTCAAAGAAAAGGAAATCTCAACCAGTAGAGAGAAAGAAAAGAAACTGTCATTAAAACAGGACATGAGAGTTTACATGACAATAAGCTCTCCCCAGTCCGGAAGTGATTAAAGAATGTTAATAAAGCAGCTGCATATAAAACTAATATTTAAAATTAAATGTTTTCTTATATTTTGGCATTAAAATTCAAAGATGCTATTTATAACTGTTAAAGATATGCTCACACAAATTTCTTCTACAATGACTACTTCAAGATATTATTGAGAAAAACTGAGGTCTGTGGAAATGATGAACGACAAGTTCTGATAGTCTGGAAGATAAAATATTATAAAAATATTACAAAATTAATATACAGCATATATCCCAATATCTATCAGTATATAATGCAATCAAAACCCCATCAAAGAGGAATGTTGTTCATGTGTGTAGGGGGAGGGGTGTTGATAAGTGTATTCTAAATTTCATATAGAAACAAAGGGACAGGAATAATTGAAGAAATGCTGAAAATAAATCATAAATATGAAAATTTTACATGGAAAGAACCAAATTATAAATCTTCAGTGATTGAAATGCTATTGTACTCATGCAGTAATGAAGTAGGACAATGTCCAAAACCGTCCCCACACCTGTGAGGTCAGCGCGTCGATGAGAAAGTGAGACAGAGCAGTGGGGAAACAAAGACAATCGCACTCAATGTTGCCGAGTCATTTGGATATGGTATAGAAAAGGTAAATCTTATCTTTACCTTGCAGACCATAAAGACATCAACTCAACTTGAACAGGGTATCTCAGGAGCAATTGTGGACCAAACGTAAATGCTAAAGCAATAAAGCTTCTAGAAGAAAACTTGTGGGAATATTTTCAGTGTTTGGTGGACAAAATATCTCATCCAGGATAGAAAATGTACTAACCATAAAATGTGAAGATAATTGCATAATACTGTTTATAAAATACTTAGTATCAACTATAAAGCTTAGTATGCGTGTGACTATTTCTGGCTCAAGAATTGGACTGTTGGATGTCCTAAGAATGTAATTCAACACAGGGCAGCATATTTCCATAGAATAGAATACACCAATGAGAACTAATATTGTCCTTCCCCACAGACAATTGTACACACATAAGCTAAGCAAAGGAAACATGTTCCATGCCAACCTACTTGGGAGAAGCTCCTTTCCATAGTAGATGACCATTGGCACAACTGGTCAAGAGCAGAACATAGGATTGTGGGGGTGTGAAGCATCGAATGCAACATCTGTTCTGCACCCTCAGATTCTTACAACCAGCCAATGTGCAGAAGATGAGACTTGGGGTGCACAGCACAGAATGCGACATCTGTTCTGCACCCTCAGATTCTTGCAAAGAGCCAATGTACAGAAGATGAGACTTGGGGTGCACAGCGCTGCACAGGACATCTCCCCCACCCTCTTCTGAAGGCTCTGGGATTATTTCCTGAGAGGAGGCGAAGACACTGTAAGAGCCAGGGGCTGTGGAGGACGACTGCAAACCAGTGTTTTCCAGGAATAACGGGGCTGTTGCACACACCAACTCACTGTGGTGGTGATGAAGATCAAAGCCGTCCAATCTGCCACATGGATGAGCCAGGGGCTGACGAAGCTCCGCCTGCTTGCTATTGGCTACTGATGACTGAAGGCAGGAAGAGCCATTTTCTCTCTAGGGTAGAGGCCCTTGTAGCTTTCCCATGCTACGGCAGATGGCCACACACCCTTGCACAGTTGTCAACACTCTGTGGGCTCAGTGGGCTAAAAATGTCGGGAAAAAAAAGAGAAGAGACCATAAAGTCAGTTAGGTAGGATTTGATTGGAACACTTTATATCCATGTACAAAATTCTCAAGCAATAAACAAAAGTTATTTTTAAACTATAAAAAGAAAACTGATAAACAAGCAACGCGCTTACTATAAAGTTGCATGGTACAAGGTTGAAAACAGGAAGACCAGTCTCTCGCAATGACTCTACAGTGGCGGTCTTCTTTGAGACTAGGGGAAATTTCTGGAAAATCAGATTGGGGGCACAGATTGTTTGACCCATGATCTGTGGCAATCACTGTGATCTAGCTAGAATTTGTGTGCATGCTTAAAATCTTAGATTTTAGTGAAAGTTGGCTTTCGAAGATAGTATTTTAATGACATTAGTGGCTCTAAAAGAATGATGATGTAACTGTTCTATTCGTAAGTGGGGTTTAAAACACACTAGAAAATAATCTATTTCAGCCAATTATGTGTGAGTAAAATGTTTTAGACATTAACAAAAAATAGCATAGAGTCATCCAACATTTTTCTTCAAAAATACTAGAAGTGGTGACTGGAGATTTGCAGTGTGAAATCCCCTCATCCAAGAATTCAGGTTTTCGCCCCCTGTGTGCAGCTTAGTAGAGGAAACAGTGACCTACACAGTGGCTCTGTAGCAGGGAAGGAAGGGACTGGGGCCCATATTTGTCTCAGAGAGCAAGCCTCCAGTCAATCAGGCCACCGCTGGAGTCCACCCGCACAGCTGGGGAAGTCAACTGGAAATGCAAGGGCGGAGGAAGTGTTTTTGTCTCCCTCGATGGTTGTGCTCCACACCAGCGTGGCTCTGGGCTCTCAAGCACCCACTGCACAGAGCAATGGCCACTGGGCATGTGGAATCCTTTGCTGGGGTCAGCGAGCTTGAGTATCAGCTCAGTATCACAGGAAAGGAAGCGCTGGCGGTGGGTGGCAGGTGAAAATCAACCTGCAGTTTTTTTCTGCTTTCTCAGAAGTGTTCCCTGTTGGTCAGGTGAGGCCTTGTCTTTCATACCAACTTGGGACGTTTCTTCAAGGGAGGGTCAACTCTTTGCTCTCACTTCTCAGCTTCCAGAACTTTCCAAGCCACCCTGTTTTCTGCTCGTCCTCTGCTTGGGATATTGAAAAACTCATCCCAGGTGATATGACTGTAAGAGGTCCATTACTTGTCAATGGACAAAATACCTAAAAGAAGGAAGGATTTACATTGGCTCCTGTTCTAAAAGGATACATTCCGCCGTGGCAGAGGAGGCAAGACCGAGTTCAAGGTGGCAAGAGCTTGTCGCCAGGCCTTGGTGGACTAGAAAATAGAGATAGCTTGCCTGAAAGCTGACAGACTGTGACACATAGGTCTGCCCCTCCATGACCTACGACCACCACGTAGACCCCTCCCAAAGGTTCTATGCCTTTAAGAAGAGGGTCACTAGTGTGCTGAGACATTTCATATTCAAAGTGTAACACTGACATAATATAAAACAACGTGATACCCACTTTAATATACATGCTGATGTATTAGTTCCAACATCAAAATCTTCTCACCCTCTTCTCTTCATATCCTTCATCTCCCAGTGTGAACTCCTTTCTGTTACTTCAAACTTCATCTGCTGTGCACCTTCTAACGCTTCCAGAGATTCTTCTCTCTTGAGTAACTGCAGACTAAGATTTATTCTTCCTCCCAATTTCTATCTAGTCTCCCTTTCCTCCCTTGAATGGGCATCTCTAGAACCTCTCACACTTACTGCTGTCTTTTTCTCCACAGGTTGTTTCTCCCCCAGAACTGCCATTTCTCTAGTCCTCTGTGACTTTGCCAAGGTCTAAGTTGCTCTCTTTTCTCTCTTCCTCGTCAGCTGGCCCTACAGAAAAGGGTGCGCCTTCAGCGCGATGCTGACAGCGTTTATCTTTTCACCCCACATCTCTTTCTGCCCACACCCCATCATCCCTGTGATGTTAAACTTCCATCCATGATTCGTGCTGTTGGCTAGACTTGGCTTCAGCAGGCTACTCTTGGGTAATAGCTGTTGACACCTAAGCCATGTATTTGGAAGCCTACTCTGAGGAATGACATACAGAGAGTGTTTGTGTGTTTATATATTTTCAGTATTAAGTTCCCCAAAGGCAGGGGCCATGTGTACTTCTCTCATTTTAGAAGTGACAATGGTGGTGGCTTGCATGTTGTGCCTCTCTTCCTCCTTTGGCTCCTGCAAACAGTCTGAAGGGCCAGCTCCCTGGCTCTGCACCAAAGACTGGGTCTCTGGGTCTAGTGGCAGCACACGCCCAGCCCGCGCTTCCCCGCAGCGTGTGAGTCAGCAGCCACGAGTTTGCATTTTGGAAATAGTTTTGGCAGCTGGCGGAATTATCCTGAGGTAGTTGGGGCTGTTATCTCTAAGTGGAGAGAAAGAGTAATCTGAGGGTGAGGTCAGGCTGCGTGGAGTGTGGGGAGGGCCGGCAATTAGGGCTAAACAACAACAGCCTGGGAAAGGTTAGCAGCAAGCATTCTGCCCAAGCCCAATGTGAGGTAGAGCCAGAAAATTCCTGGGAAACCACACAAGCCAAGCTTTGCCTTTCACAGATAAGGAGCCCGGAGAGGTTGGTATGAAGTCCAAAGTGAAAGACAGAGCCACAGTAACACTCCACTGCTCCAGTCCTGAGGGCAAGAGCAGGCTCTCCGCTGCTCTGTGCTCCCCAGATGTTTGCCAGTGTTTGCTCAGGTCCAGCATGCTGGTCTCCACTGCTGGACCTCTTGACGTCAGCAAGTTCTTAGAAGCACTGCCAGCCAGAGGTTTAGCAACACGTCCTTAAAACACCAACAAGAGCAACAACTTTCCAGGAGCTCAGTTGCCTAGCTTCTGCGTAGACTGCATTTTTAGCCATAAGTCTTGGCACTCTAGGTGAGGGGACACCCCCTTACACCACCTCCCTAGTTTCATAGTCTTGTGGCCATTTCTGTTACATCTCCACGGAAGCCTACTCTCAAGGCCATGATGCAGACGTTGGCACTGCCAGGAGGTCGCCCATTAGGACAACGACAGTGACATGCTATGCGTTGGGTAGATGAAGAAGAGCAGACGCTGTTTATCACAGTTCTGGGAGCTGGGCAAGACTTAAGGCACCAAGATAATGTCTGGTGAGGACAGTTTTCTGGTTCATAAGCAATGTGGTCTCATGTGACAGAAAAAAGTATAAATCTCCCTGGACCTCCCCTTTCTTATTTTCTCTCATTCCTTTCTTGTGATATTTTTGCTATATAGGTTAGGTTGACTTTGAACTCATGATTCCCCTGCCTCTCTCTTCTGAATTCTGAAATAAAGGTCCATGCTATTGCACCTGCTTAGTTCTCATGTATAAGGGCCCTAACACCGTTCACAACAATGGGCCTAACACCATTCACAAAAACAGTACTAATGCCGGTCACAAAAATGGTGCTTTCATGCTAATTACCTCCCAATACAACAAAGCTCACCCTTGTGATAAGGTTTCAGAATAGATATTGGAGGCAAATATTTCCCCCAGTGAGACTTCATTCTGCACTGTGACTCTCTAATTTGTCTGCTTCTAGACTCGAAGTGTGATGTCCCAGGACATCCCCAGGCCCGCCTGTCTCCCATTTGTTCCTCCAGTTTGAACCACACAGCCTTGTTCCTGGCAGCAGCACCTTTGAGTCCCACACCCGGTGATCCCTGCATTCTGTGCTCAGCCCATTAGGTCCATTCTCCCTGATCCTGCTGCTGGGCTCAGCTGAAGACAATACCAAGCTGTCTACAAAAAGATGGCCACTTAAGACTCCAAATACTCCATCACAAGGAGTCCTTACTAGGGTCACCCTCATAAATTCTAGGAATTTTGCTGCACTAGGTTTCCACACTGTCCCCCAAAGGCACCCCCGCCCCAATTCTAGCTGTCTCTCCTTGTACTCTCTCCCTCCAACCCTTCTGTGAAATTGTTGGCCCAAGGGGGACCTGTGGAGACACCCTCAACAACCCAGGCTGATGCTCTCTGAAAACTGACATCCGGGCTCCATTGCCAAGAACCACATGCATACAGCTTACTGAATATGGCGAGATTAGCTGCTGCCTGCATGGAGCCTTCACCCCTACATTTTAGACTCTTTGGGGCAGAAAGGCACTCTCTGGGTTGTTGAAAGAGAAACCTGAACACCAACCCACCCACAAAATCTTTAACCTACAGTCTGTCCAGCCTGAAAGATGTATTGGGACAATGGCGGTGGAGAATTTGTGTGAGTGGCCAGCCAATACCTGGTTTAGCTTGAGGTCCACACCATGAGAGGAAGCATGCCTGACATTGCCTGGCTGGACAGGAGCCAGAGATTAGGTAGCTCACACACCTAGGATAGAACCAAACATGACTGGCAAAATATAAAATTAAAAAATCAAAAAAAAATTTTAAAAAAATGATTCTTTGATATTAATTTATTGTGATGTTATGCTATTAATGATAGTCTGCTATACTCATAGATCAATGACTTGTCCAGTCTCCATCAAAGAGCCTCAGGATGGGAGAGTGTGCAGAGACTCACAGCAGACATTTGGCAGAGAGAGGCTAAACCGGAGGTCTCTCTTAAGTCCCTCCCCTCAACTCTGCGGACCCCGTGAAAGAGAGGAGGGAAAGATTGCAGGAGTCAGCGAGAATGAAGGACGCCAAGAGAACATGATCCACATGCGATCGTAGAGACTAAGGTAGCAAGCATGGTGCCTGCAGGGATCTGCCCCAGGTCCCCTGTGCATGTTAGGACTGTTAACTTGGTGCTCTTGTGAGACCCCCTAGTAGGAGCAGCAGTGAGCCTCTGACTCTTGCCTGCTCTTGGGTCTCTTCTCCTCCTGTCAGACTGCCTTGTCCAGCCTCCATATGGGGGTTTGCCTTGTACCTTCTTCTGCTGTGTTTTTTTGTTGTTGTCTCTTGGAGGGGCTACTCCTTTCTGAAGGAAATGGGGAGGGTGAATCTGGGGGAGGCGGGAGG